AGCTTTTGAGTCAATTTTCCAATTACTTATGGTCCCTTGAAGGGGGGGTGGGGGGGTACATATTAAAGCGCTAATTCCTTAACCTTTCCTACAATTTTGATGAGAGTACCCTCAAATTAAAGCCCAGAGTGTGCACTTTAAACCCATATTCATTATACAACTGTAACTTGAATATGTTTTGGTCAACAGCTAAAAAAAAATAAAAAAATATATATGGACCTGACTGTACATTTTTGCATGTTTGTATAGACAACTCAACTAGATGTAAAAATGGTTACAAATTCTTTAAGGTTCATAGAATATTGAATTATTGGAATTAATAGACATCACTGTTGAATCGATCAGATTAATTAAATGTTTTGAAAACTATCACATTTAACATATTTGCCTTTTGACAGTTTCATTTTAGTTTGATTTCTAGAGTCATAGGATTCCTTCACTTAACCCAAGTCTAAACTTAAAACTGTTAAAATAAATGAAAATATAACATTAGTTTTATTGTTTTGTTGTTGTTTTTTTCATGGGACATTTGCGGCAAAAATATATATATAATTTTATAATTAATTATATATATAATTGTAATTTTATATAAATTCTATATATTTAAAAACATATATATTTCTAATGATAATATATTCTATATATTATATAGAATATATAAAAAATATATTATTATAAAATTCAATTTATAATCATTCTAAAAAATATATCTACATTTATGTGCCTATTACACACACACACACAAATACATACATATATACATATATATATAAATCACACACACACACTGTTCATTTCTGTGTATATTGAATATTCAAAGATACAAAAATACAATTGCAAAAGTCTGTGAGACCATTATGAACAAATCATCAAGCATGCTATACAAGAATTCAAGACAGAGACTTATTAAGCGTTTAAGACCGTGAAACCCTCCTCCCATCCAGCTGGAGATCATTTCTAGCCAAAGTGAGCAGGTTATTATCAAAAAATTTCCATTTACACAATTTCTGTTTACATATGTTGATTTTGGCCAGCCATGAACAGCAACAGCTTTGCAGCGCAACTGAAGACATGTGTTAAGAGCAGAGACAAATCACGCTGCGATTTTATCTGGCCTTGGAATGTAAACACGCCACAAAACGCTCAAACACATCTCTGAGACATTTTCAAACACAGCAATTCTTCCTGATAGAAAGTATGGGGAATTTAAAGTGAGTTATAGCTTGCTTATGACCAAGAAAATCATTATGGCCATTCCTCAGGGAAAAGACTAATCCAAGAATTCATCATGGTTTGACTGTGATGTATTGTGTAGTGTTTAGAGGCACGGAAGGGATCGCAAGCACACAGAAAAGGTCACTGTACTTTTAAGGGCTTTGTTCGTATACATCTGCAGTAAATGGGCTACTTTAGTGCTATTGGTGACAAGAAACATTCAATCACGGTAAAGCCACTTGATTTCACACTGGCACCCATGCTGATGTATACTGCTGACTCCTAGTGGAGGTTCATATCATTACACTTCACTTACAGCAAAATTCTGTCATTTACCCACCCTCATGTTGTTCCAAACCTGTATGACTTCAGTTCTTCTGTGGAACACAAAAGAAAATATTCTGAAGAATGTTCATAACCAAACACTTTTGTTTCCATACAATGGAAGTCAATGGGAAACGGAATGGTTTGGTTACCAACATTTTCAAAATATCTTATTTTGTGGTTTTCAGAAGAAATAAAGTCACACAGGTTTCAAACATGACGTGAGTAGATAATGACAGAATTTTCAATTTTGGGTGGACCTTAAAAAGAATATTCCTGGTTCAACACAAGTAAAGCTCAATCGACAGCTTTTGTAGGATATGTTGTAGGTTTATTACTATAATAAAGTTTTTTTTTTTTTAAAGATGGTGAGGCACTTTCAATGGCTGTAAATGGGGACCATTTTTTGAGGATTTAAAAGCTGAAATGTGAAGCTTATAATTTTATAAAAAGCACTTACATTAATTCTTCTGTTTATACCTATGTATTATTTAAGCTGTTTAAATCATTTTTACATTCATTTTAGCAAGGTAAATTGGATATAAAAAACAGCTCAACGGCTTTTTTTTATGCTGAAATCAGCATATTTTATGTCTTGTGGTTATACTATTGAATCAGTGAGCATGTTAAAGTTTATGAATTGGACCCCTTTCACTTACAAGTGCTTCACTGTCACCTACAGTAGATCTTTGCATTATTTAAAGAAAAGGAGAGACAAGTAGGAACTAATTATCAACATTATGCCCCAAATTCCATCAACTGAACTTGTACCAAACCCACACTAGTCTGCATTGTGACAATGAGAAGACAGTACCTGTCAAAGGAATGGAACTGCATGGGTAACACGGCTTGGGCTTCCCTCTTCATGGCCTGATGGTCAGGGTATGGCAGGGTGTCTAGCCCGGTCTCTGTGGTCTCCACAGGAGCTGCTACCAGGCTCTTCAGGATTTCCTTGACATTGATGCCTTTGTTGGACTGGCTGATGCTGGAGATGGATGAGGCGGGTTTGAGGTGATCCACAGTCGAAGGCTCAGTCAAGCTCTCCTGTGACCTGGCCTCTGATGACAGTGTGCAGAACAACCCACTCATGCCGTTCGGACCACCCATGGTATGGTCCAGGTCGGCCCCGTTCATCACACTGGACACCTGGTCGTCACCCAGTCCTGAGTCAGAGTGAGGGAGGGATGACTCCTGACGGGACTCCTCCAGCACACTAACAGCATCCCTGCGACTGTCAGAGAGGGCTGATGGGTGCTCTGAGAGACATATATCCGAGTGTAGAAAATGAATAGAATATAACAGAAATCAGAGATGATCAGAAAATGATCACTAGAATTACTAGAAGTTTTTGAAATCATTATTTTATCAAAGTTATGACATTACACTCACTCACAACATGTCAGATGACAACTTAATACTTCATAAAGATCTCAATCAACCAATCAATCAATCAATCAATATATATATATATATATATTAATGTATATAATGAGAAAATGTGAATTGTGAAAGTGAATATACATAGTTACAATAATAAATATGTAATATTTGATTTATAATTATACATTATATATATATATATATATATATATA